AAAAACTTGTTCCTCGAGCATTGTTGAGTTCTATAAGCCCTCGGGAATTTTTAAGAACACTCGAGAAGTGCGAGTGATTCTCCGCACTTCTCGAGTGTTCTTAAAAATTTCCGCGTACTTATATCACACAACAATGCACTCGACACGTTTTTTTTTGTCTTTAGTACTCTCCTCAAAGTTTTCTCTTTGAGAATTTTCGTCACTGTTCACGTTATGATAACGTAAATTACGGCGCCTGGAGTGTTTATAAACCTTTGTTGGGTTCTTCAGTTGCTATTTGCCGACTCACCTGTTTCGAAATTTAACATTCAATTAAAGAAAAACAACCACAGAAAAGTCCCGCAAAAGGTCGGATAAAGTACAATTTGGCAGATGGCGTGACAGCTTCAGCTCAGCTCTATGCTCTGTACTCTCATAGAGTACGCTCTTTCAACCAATGACAGCGCACGTTATATCCGAACTTTATTATAAACTATCATAGAGTGCGCTCTTTAAACCAATGACAGCTCGCGTTATATCCTAACTTTATAATAATTTTATCGAGTTGCTTTTTTTTATCTTCTAAGAAAATAATCCTTCATTTTATATATCGAGATCGTTTAACGTGGCCTCTGAGACATGGGCACGTAAAAGCAACCAGACGAGAATATTAGAAAATATATATTTATGTTATTTACCGGCTAAGGGTCGGTCTGTGTGGTGAAAAACTGTGACCAAGGTATTGAAACTGCTGCCCAAAGCCGTAGGCCTCGGGCAGCATCTTCAAAACCTCCGTCACAGTTTTTCACCATGCGGACCGACCCTTAGCCGGTAAATAACATTTTTTTTTAACTTAACGAAATTATTTCCGAAAGAGCCCGAATGACCTAGGACTGTAGGTGGTAATTACGGCAAGATCTTCCTCAGAATGAACAATTTTTGAGCGAGTAAATGGTAGTTAAAATAGAGGTGATGCAAATTAAAGAGAGATGCTTCACCGAAACAGTTTCATTTGCGTAATGATAAAGGTGATTTAGGACCTGTTTACATGGAGGTGGGGGACCCCAATAAAAAGGCTTCTAAACAAACTTTGAAACATTATTTTTACAAGTATCTGTCACAATCTGGCACCTGTCAATTAGAGAGCGCGTAATAAAAAAAAGCGCATGTACACTTTTGAAAAACAACGAAACTAGTTTGGCAAGGAATGTCATGAAAATGTTTTCTTCAAGAACAGTCAATGATCTAACGGAAAGAATTATTCACTCTCATCAACCATTAATTCCAGTACGAAGATTTACCTCTGTTTATTAAGTAAACGGCGAGGAAAGTAATCGTAAGTAAATTAAAATTTCTCATATTGAAATTGCGAGAGTTTGCTCGTTTGTTTGCTGCAATGGCGTGTGTAAATCTGGTCTTTCCTCCACAAAAACTAAATTCGAATGATACACTCTTACGAGACACAAGGGGATTTAATGCGGCTTTCATCCATTGAATTCTTTCAGTTTCTGTTGTGCAATTTACGTTACAAATGTCCAAATTGAACGGAATTAGGGCCTGTTTACATGGAGGTGGGGGACCCCAGGTAGACGAGGTAACCCGCCTGTTCATATAATTTCTTATTTTATTTTGATCACGTTTATATGATAGGTGGGGTGACCCGCCTAGGCGGGTTGCCCGGTCTGCCAGGTAGGGTAAACCTATCAGCCGGGGTGACAATTTGCCATATAAACGTCTCAAGTTGGGGTAACCCGCCTGGCCGGGGCCACGTTCATGGCAAAAAGCTCAAAAGCGAAACATGTGTGTTTTAAAACTTTGTACATTTCTTAACCGCAACGGACATACAAGGAGTGTAAAATATTCACATTTCGGAATATTTAGCGTTGTAAATCGACCATATTTCGTTTTTCAAACTATTCCGTATAACATATTAAGTCAACGGTTCCTCGCGTAGCCTGACACCGCGTAACACAACGGGTGACGCTTTCATGAATAAATTCATGTGTCCGAGAATTAATCTTTCGTCTTTCTCGAGATGTGAGCTTGGGACGCCTCTGCTCAAACTCCTTAATTGCGAGCGCAACAACAACCTCAAGAAACCTCACCCCAGCGCCCTGGAGTTGTAAGATTGCATGTAAACGCGTTTTATTTTTCGACCACGACTAGGCAGGTTACCTCACCTACCAGGGGTCCCCCACCTCCATGTAAACAGGCCCTTAGAAAGACCGTGACTCACCGAGAGCGTATATTTGTCGTATAACTGAAATTAAAACTTCGCTCGCTCTTTCACTAAGAAACAAATTGTTTGAGAAAATTCAGATATTAAATGAATGAAAGTTTCATCGATTAGTTCAACCAAATACCTTACGTTTTAACTTTCTAGGTACTTTTTGTGAACGATTAAAATTAATTGCAGACGGTTTTCAGGCCGCTTGTCAACCAACGTAATGCACTATCACTTATACAAATTCATTCTGAAACCAATATTTTTCTGTCAACCAAAGTGATTCGAGAGAGAGAAAAGAGAGGATCAATAATTTATTTATCGGCGCGAGGTAGTGACTAACGTCTTTGCTTTAAACTACTGCCCAGCCGGAAAAACGAGCACAAAGCACAAATTTAAGGAGGACGAATCTATGCAGTTTCATTCTTTACTTATCTCAGAATCATATTTCTTGGTACCAGCGAGAGCTTATAAGTATTTACCGCCTTTTACTGGATGCTGAAAATCAGTCCTCCTCCTTGTGACTAGAGTTGAGGCATATTCCGTCAAAAGGCTGCCCCGGTATTCCGAGAACTAAGGCACAACTTGAGTTATCGATTAACTTAAGTCTTATGCATCAGATGTAGAGGCGTTTCCGTTATTTTCAGCTTTTTCCCACTCCTGAAGCCTTTCGCGGTACTTGGCAAACAAAGCTCGTATATCACTCATCATTTCAATCTCCATCTGATCAAGAGCTGGCAGCCCACCATTAAATTCATTCACAGCTATTGCCCCTGTGAACTCTTCATCTAAAACAGCAAATCAAATTAAAAAGTGGGTTGATCACTTACGGGAATATGAAGACCTTTTAACGCTTATGACCACAAGGCGGGCCGATTCTTTTTTTCTCCTTTTTGGCAAGGAAAGGGTGCTTTTGTGTCCCAAGATTGTTACAGAAATATACTCAAATAAGACAGTAAAGTGATCCACGCCAAATTAAATAATCATAGCTAACCCCGTCCCTGAAGATACATTTCCCATGAGCATGTTTAAAAGGAAGAAGGCAATTAAAAGACTTACCCTTTTTGCGTCTCTTCTTTGGACATCGGCATGATTTAAAGAACAACACCTCAGCTGTCAAGCCAATGAAGAAAATAACGGCTATCAAAACGAGGCAGGAGTACAACGAAGGGAAAAACAAATCACCGGTGGGATCAAAAATACTCTGAGAGTTCTGCACCGCCTCGTTTCCTCCTCCCTACAAACAGCAATAAAACAAAACAAGAAAAACACTCTCTTTTTGTTTAATTACATAAGAATGAAAACGCTTACTTCGCGACAATGATAATCATTTTTAGAAGAGTGTCTCTGTTAAACTGAATAAACTTCCATTTGCATCAAACGACGCTTAATTAACATGAAAAGATGACTGGTAGGAAAATTGAAGCGTTTTCACGGAACTCTGTCATCTGGTGTGCATATGAAACGTTTAGAGGCCAAGAGGAGCAGGTTGTGGCTATGGGTGCTTCAAGTAGAGACGCAATTGGTAACACGTCACTTCTTAAATGACAAGAAACTAAAAAATTGCTATATTACAATTCCCATATTATTTATAAACTATACACAACATTATGCATGCAGAGGGAAATAGAACTTGTAGATCTACTGTGGAAAAGCTTCACATCTGAGGATCTCCTGCTTGAATTCTAGAAAATATACTGTTTTGTAAGTGTCTGGGAGAGAGTTCCATAATTTGCTAGCTAAATATGAAAAAGAGTGCAGACCGTAAGTCGTTGTTTTTGGGTTGGGAAGAGATGTAATATGATTTCCGCGCAAATTGTGGGATGAAGACCGTACGGTGAACATATCTTTTAAATAACCTGAAAAATTTTTAAAGAACAGACTCTTGTATAACGTGATCATGAAGTTCTGGAGTCGTCTAATTAATAGAGATTTTAAGTTAACTTTGCTTAGTAAAATGTCATATGGATAGCTGTAGTCCTGTAGTATAAACCTAAGAAGGCGCTTATTTAGGTTATCTACTTTGTCAGCATTGCACGCACCACAGAAATACCAAACAGAAGAACAGTAATAAAAATGCGGCAAAATAAGGGCTTTATAAAGCTTCAATAGCGTCTCCTTATTAATAAGTTTCCGAAATCTAAGCATTACGTTAAATTGATTTTTTTATTTTCTTACAGATAACTGATACGTGATTATTAAAAGAGAGCCTATTATCTATTGTCATCCCAAATATATCTATCGAGTTATTTACTGGGAAACAAAAATTGTGCGAAGTTTTTCCCAGGATTAGAACTTGGTGCTCTTTCACGTTAACAATCATGCCATTGTTTTTATACCACTGATTTGCGACATTAACTTCTTGACAAATGCACTCTTCCAGTGCAAGTGGGTCCAGGTTAGACGAATAAATCTGATGGCCGTCTGCGTATGCGTTTAGTTTTGCATATTTCACATGCTGAAACAAGTCATTAATAAATATATTAAAAAACATTGGTCCTAAAACGCTCCCTTGCGGTCCGCCTCTTCTGGTGCCCGCCCAGTTGGAGAAGGTATCTCCAATCTTTACTTGTTGCTGTCTTCCTGACATGTAGTCATTAGAGTGAGTAGCGCGCAACTTCCTTCGCTTACTTCATATGCTTTGAGTTTTGCCAAGAGTAAGTCATGCTTAATAACTTCAAAAGCTTTGGAAAGGTCTATAGAGACAATCGCAATCAGTTCCCCTTTATCACGCATGCACCTCCAGTCCTCTGTCAGCCGCAATAATGCAGTTTCACAACTGGAGAACTTCCCATATGAACTAATAAAGTCCGACAGAATAGCGCTATAGAATTTACCCAACTGCGCTGCCAGTAGTCTCTCGTAGATATTATTAAGCACAGGTAACACTGTGACGGGCCTGTAATTTGCTTTATTAGATTCGTCATCTTTTTTAAACAGAGGTGTGACCTGTCCCATTTTCCAGGCGTTGGGGTAGCACCTTGCACAACGGAGGTGTTCAAAATATTAGTGATAGGTTTAGCTATGACAGATGCCGATTCCTTCACAAGCCTTAGAGATAGCATACCGTGGTCGCACGATTTACGGACATTCACGTCCAAAAGTGCTCTTTGTACTTGCGCTTGATTGATGTATTCAAAATTAAAACAAAGTGGTGCTTCTGTTGCGCTGTTCTTCTCATGAATAGCTATAATGCTTGGGTGGTTTTTAAAGTGTTAACCATAACCTGTCTCTTTCATCAACGGAACATCGTCAGCAATTTGAATAAATTGCGCATTGAATAGTTCAGCGATTTCCCTTTTGTCACTTATAACAACATTGTTTTCCTTGATAATGATGTCATTTACCTGCTTTGTTTTGCCATGAAGAAAGGGTCGATACGCATTCCAAAATTCCCTTGGGTTTTCTGGCTCGGACGACTTTTTCACAAAATGCTCTTTTATTGCCTTTCTTCTTAGAGAAATGCATATATTGCGTTGAATTTTGTAATGGTGATAATTTGCGTCCGTCCGATCACTTATAAATAGCCGCCATAATTTGTTTCCGTGCCTTATTGCCTTGCGCCATTGTTCCGTCATATATGGTACCTGGTTGCCCCTAACAATAGTCTGCTTAAGAGGGGCGTGTTCATTCAGAATTTCGTTGTACAATTGTTCAAAGGCGTAGAATTTGTCATCCACTTCGTCAAACACGTCGATTATTGAGAAAGGTGCCATTTGTAGATCTTGAATGAATTTATCTCTGTTGAAGTTTTTAAAACATCGTACACAAATTTTACGAGAGCGCGATCTTGGAGCTCTTGACCGTAGAATTGCAAAGACTAGTGAATGATCATTTATCTGCGTATCCACTACATCAGATACCAATGTCTTTTTCTTATTACCGGTCAAAATTAAATCGAGAAGTGTCTCTGATGTTTTCGTCTTTCGAGTAGCTTTTGTAATCAAGCAATCAAACAAAGATTTCCATCAGGTCTAAAAGATTTCTACCGTCCTTGGGAGGCTTGTATTGATTCAACAGATCGGCGTTGAAATCTCCAGCGTAGAAAACAGTCTCTGTAAGTGTAGAGACCTCTTCGAAAATAGATGAAAGCTCTCCAGTCCTTTGATGTTTCGAAATCGATGGAGGTCTATAAACTGTTGATGTTGATCGCGACGTTTCGACCGCAATACTGCTAGTCTTCATCTGGCGACGAGGTCGATTGTTTACGTGTCACTATTTGTAGCATGTTGGTACTCTGCTATTAGTGCATTTCGATCCTCATTATCATTCCGATTGTTAGATGGTGTTCCCTCATAGGTCCCCATAAATCGGCTTTTGTGTTGTTTGATCGTGGGTATCGTATCCAAGCTTCGGGAATTTCGATTCCGCTATCACTATTGATGTTGTTGGGATGATGGATAGCCTCTTTGACTCTATGTGTACCTGTGGGGGCCACGATCAACAAACTTAACTTTGCTCCAAATAGGAATATGCCCCGTTTCTTTAGCGTGCTCCGAACCGCAGAGGTCTGAGTACGAGCAAACCGTATGTCTCTGTCAGATGCTCTTTTATCCTTTCTCGCATTGATCTCCCAGTTTCATCGATATACACCTTGCCGCATTCACATGGGATCTTGCAAACAACACCGTCTTGTTTTGATGGTTCCAGGGCGTCTTTAGGTCGTACCAAGTGAGACCTAAGTGTTGTGTCCGACTTGAAAACGGTCCGTATGTCTTGATGTTGTAGGCAGCGGCGATGCACCCTGATACACCCTTTATGTAAGGGAGAACGGCAGTAGATTTAAATTCCTATGCAGTTTTTTTGTTGGCTGTCACCCTTGTTGTTTTTGTGAGTTTTCTTACAAATGAAGAAGGGTAACCACTAGAAACGAGTACTGATGACAAGTGTTTCTTTTCCTCTGAGATAACTGACGGTTTCGTTGTGAGGTGTTTGGCTCGGTCGTATAGTCACTTAACAATACCACGTTTCACCGACTGAAGATGGTGTGAATCATAGGCTAGGTACTGGTCAATGTGGGTGGGCTTTCTGTAGTCAGTGAGAGGACCGTCTGAGTCCCTTGTAACTGTTGTGTCGAGAGAAGGAATAGTGTTATCTTTCTCGATTTCCATGGTAAAACGAATAGTAGGCGGTTGACTGTTTAGATGTTAAAAAAGGCCATTGACATGGTCCCGGTCTAAGACTGTGAAAGTGTCATCAACATATCGTTCCCGGATCTTAGGTTTGCAAGTCGCATTTGCCATCGCTTGTTCCTCAAATTCTCTATGTAGATGTTTGCTATAACTGCGGAAACAGGGCTTCCCATAACTGCTCCGTCTTGCTGTTTATAAATCGACCCGTTGTATTGGAAATATGTCGATCTTAAGACGAAATTCAAGAGGTCGGCAATTTGTGTAGATGATAAGTTTGTGCGGTTAGCAAGATCGATGTCGTACTCTAGTTTTCGTAATGCGGCTTGAACTGCGCCCTCGATCGTTACGTTTGTAGATAACGATTCTAGGTGGCTGTTTGTGCCTGGGTTTGATCTTGTTGTAGATGGTTTCTGATAGATGTCCATTTTGTTCCAAGCTGAAAAGCTTGTCAGTGAGGTTACGGCTTAGCCGGTCTGTTGGGTCTTTATTAAGGAGTCGGTACGGACCCGTTTCAATCAAGGTTTTCATTTTGTCACAGTAGGTGTTTGTGTCTAAGACTACACTAGCGCGGCCTTTGTCCGCTGACAGAATAGTGATAGTGTCGTCTTACTTTAGATTCCTAAGGGCTTCTTGCATATTATTCGTGATGTTAGTCTTGGGTGATTTGGCCTGTTGAAGGATACCGTTTACAGTTCGTTTCTCGACAGTGTATGTTTGCTCTGAGTCAAGCGCTCTCATTGCCGACTCGACTTTGGCGACTATTTCGCTGGCTGGGATGTTAAATGGAATTACTGCCAAATTCAACCCTTTCTTTGGGAACAATACCTCAATATCGCTGAGGGGGCGCGAAGATAAGTCAATTACCCATTTTTTTTTGTCGACTTGAGGTGTTTGGTCAACATAAGAAACAGTGGAAGCTTGTTTCTCTCAGGCAAGTTGTTGTCGATCTTTAGTGGTGTTAAATATCCTTTGGGTATTAAATCTGATCTTTTTAAGTATTTCACTGGCCTCATCTGCTGAAAGAGTGGCTCGTTATAATCACCTCGTGCAAGGTGATTTTAACAGGGGCGCTCAATTTTCAAATGGCTGCCCCGCGTTTTGTCAATGTTGCAGAGGAAGTAATAAACGTGATGGAGAAAAATCAATTGTGCAGAGATTGCACTAAAGATGCTACCGAGTTTGGCAAAACACCTTTCAAAATAAAAATAGAAGATAAGATAGAAAGAAGTTTTTCCTGGTTGAATTAAATAAAACTTTTAAAATTCCACACGAAATTGGCCGACTATCTCGTTCCGAAAAGTCAAGACAATTGTTACTAAATTGTTTCAACATTAAAACGAATTTACAACAGATTTCGAAAGCACCTGAACAATTATACTATAACAATTTTTCACCTCAGGCTCAGTGAATATTGTTGATTAATTCCCGAGACCAAGTCTCGGGGATTATTCACCAATATATACTGAGCCTGACGCGGATGATTGTCAAGGAGGCTCCACAAGGTTTTTTGATCGCGCGAGATCTGGGTGCAAACATAGCGCGAGCTTTACAAGTGTCAACATGCAAACAAATATGGCGGCTCGATACGATCTCACGATTCTTATCTGAAAAGGTGTGTCAAAAAAGTTTAACACAATACAGTTTTTATGTGATGGAATCTTGGGTATCTAGCAATTGCACCCGTAATATTCATTGGCCTTCTAGGCCTGAAAGAGAGGTCAACCGAAAAGAAAACACCGTGGGAAAGATTGCCAAAAGGCGACAGATTCGAAAGTCCACGCATGCTCTGATACCGATCTTGGCGAAGTTCAATTCCATTACGTAATGTTTTGTGACAAAGAAAATAGGGATCTTTCGAGTAAGATTTATTACGTTTCCTTCGGTGGAATTTCCTAAGATTTGCTGGACCGTTAAACGTATTTGTGCCCTACCTAGTGCCGGTTGATAAAAAAATTCATGAGGCCAAATTTGAGTTAAAGGAAGAAAACCAAAAAATTGCAAATAGCAAGGGAACTGCCTTGGAAACCCCTACTTTTCTTTCCGGCTTTTAAATGAACGGCAAAAAATTTTTTATAAATTATGAAGATTTTGAGAGATTTTACCGTAGCAAATTAAAGAAAATTAAAGGAAAAGCCAAATAATCGCTGGAGAGCGCCTCCCTTTGTGGAGCCTTAGCTTGATAACGAATATTATTTTAATAATATTTGCTAGAGTAAACGCTAGTCCGAACTTTGCTCATTGCCTTTTGATGACTCTTAGTGACCTTGAAAAGCGAAAACATAAAAATTTTCTGGAAAAACATTACGCTGGCGCGCGCGCCATCATTAAGAAAAAACTCTATGGAGCCTCCTTAAATATTGCAAAATTACCTTCAGTGTTTTATTAAGCTCTTTCTTGGTAAAGTCGTAGATCAGGTACTTGTCTTCAGCGATCAATTTGCTGAAACATTGTGCTAAAAAGCTATCATTCACCATAGCACCATAGGAAAGCGTCTCCTCTTTAAGGACTTCATCTATTTTGAACTTACTTCTCGGAAAAAGGGTCTCGGTATAATGACTAATTTGGTAATTATCCAAGAGTATACCTGAAAAATCCCCAAAAATAGACTCAGAAATCTGATATAATGATGTGACGTTTAGGGACTAGTTTCAGCATGCGTAAGCAAAATTAGCTAAGTTATTTGGTCAAGTTTACTTCCCTTGAGGTTAACTTGAAGTTAGGTAGATTTCGCAAGGACAAAAACTCGTTTTCTACTAGAAAAATAAGCTAACTTGATCGAAAACTGACAAACTTGATCAAAAATTCCTTTTTTTAAAGGGGCCACCACCTTACCTTCAATTTCCCCTTGGTCCAAAGCGTCCCTCATGTCCTCAACTGAATTGAATACTACAAAAAAGGCATTTGGCGAGGAAAGAATATTAGCCCAACAGAAGGTAAGTCGGCTGATAAATAGGCGGAGGTGCTAGCCGACTAAGCTCGGGACTGTTTCTAAAGATACATAAAGTCAGCCGCTTAGCATTAACTTTCCTTGTCATCTTTGCCAGCAGGTGTCGTTACTGTCATTCCATAGTAATATGAAGCCAGAATAAAACTAGACATGACTTACACTTTAAGTCGGCTTGATGTTGCATTCCCAATGCCATTTCTATCGAGCGTTTGAGAACGCCGACCTGAAGAATAGCAATTGAACTCAGTCAAAGGAATTGGGGTGCAGGATAATCTGCCTTCTGCCAATGAATCGTTTCAAAAATTTCTAACCCTGTACTTTTTCAAGTACAAGTGTCTCGGCCAAGTTTTTCAATGTTGTAAGAATTATTCGTTTGTTGCGGGTTCAATGATGATGTTTTTTGTATCACTTTATCCTAATTAACGAAAACATCGACAACTACAACTATATTTAGTTCTGTTAGTGCTTTGCTAGTGCTTCGGCAACTGTTGCTCTTACTGCTATCAATACTGCAACTACTATTGCTCCTGTTACTAGCAGTAATACTGCCACTGTTACTGCTACTACCGGTGTTGCCACTACTGTTACTGTTGCTGCTCCTTCTATTGCGATTGCAACTGTAAATGCAATTGCTTCTGTCTGGTAAATTATTGTCTATTAATAATCTACTGACGATATAGTAGACTATTGTCAACTAATTTTCTACTAAGGCTGCTATCGCTTCTACTCCTATTGTTACTGTTGTTGCATCTGCTGCTACTACCACTACTGCCACTCCTACTGCTACTGCTGATACTTCTCGTGCTGGTGTTACTACTAATGCTACTGCTAGTGCTACTATAACTGCTAATATTTCTGGCACTAGTGCTACAACTAATCCCACTGCTAATGCTACTGTTATTGCTAATACTATTGCTACTGCATGTACTACTGCCAGTCAGCAACTGCAATACACTCGTACCTTTGAGCCAGGCAGGCTCTTCTTGGTATCCAGACTGATGGCAGTTAGTGAGGTTGTTAAAGTAGCGGTGAATATTGAACATATACATACTCCAACTAAAATCCAAACAACTGCAAAGGTTCGGCCAAGGATAGATCGAGGCGAACGGTCACCGTATCTGCGTGTGGAGTGAACAATATTCTAATCATAAATCTCTTTCAAGGGTCAGAATTTCAATCGATGGGGCGAGGGGATAATCTAAGATTCTTTTTACGATTCTCATAGAAAAAGCAATTGATTAAGCTTTTGGTTATTGCTACTATGAACTCATGAATTGCTAGCGATATCATTCATATATGGATGGTCCTGCACCTCATCGATAAATAGAAGGTTGGCGCTGTCTTTAAAATTAATGCTAGAGGTCGAAAGCACATTACCTACATAACGGTATTAACGGGATTAAAGACCAATTGTGTATCTATAGTTAAATATGTACCCCACTGTTGTCATGGAGACGAAGGCCCACCAAAATCCTTCCCAAGATCCTCTAAAGAATGTTCGAGGGAACTCTTTCTCGTTAAACCAAGTATCCTGAAATAGAAACCGGTGAGTAAGAGCTCCTATGATTCGCTTCTAAGATTCAGCTGTGTTGTAGAGCCTTAAAAGTGACTTAATCAAGATGTAGAGCATGGAACTATTACGAAGAGAAAAAAAGAGTTTTAAAATAATTTTTTCATATTTCGCCAATTTAAAGGGAATAAATTGTACGTTAAAATTATACAAAAAAGGATAGGTCACCGTGCTCGTTCAAGAGCTAAAGACCATCGTACCTCTTTTTCTGGTTCATGGATTGAAAAACAATATCGTGTTCTCGGAATGCGCGCGTGCTTTATCACCTGATAACGTGATTTTTATGCGTAATACAGGATATGCGGTACAAAACTGATGAATCACCATAAGCTTTCATGATGTCCAAAGACGGTTTGCGAGGAAAATTCTTTATTTTCACAATACAACGATTACTCGACTTTTAAAATTTTAGGCTGCAAATTATTCTGTATTTGCGATGTTCCCATCGTGCCCAGAATTTGCAAATAAGCTTCTTACGGCTCTAAATCCAGATATACGAGAGTTCACGCGATTGCTAGATTAAAGTGAAAACTCCGGAAATAAAGTCAAGTTGTCAAATCTTCATAATTACCAAAAATTTCAGGGTAACAGCTCTCATTCAATTTCAATACCTATCTTTTTTCACAAAATAAATTTTCAACAAATTTTGATCGAAAGTATTAGCAAGAAAGAATTGCGAAACAAGTCGATAGCAGTAAAGCGGTTTGAGATCCGTTCTTCGTCGTTTCAGCCCGCAATAATTTAGTCTTCATCAGTACGCCATCCCTCGACTGATAATAACGTAAAAAATTGACCAATCAAAGTTTCTAGATTTCCAACTACGATACTCTGAACGGTTGTTACAATTCCCAAAGAAGAGCAAACAGAAAACTGACAGACGGTAAACAAGTTAGATCTGCCGGCCAGTAATGATCCGGGTAGACTCACAAAAGTGACGAAATCATTACAAATTTTTTTCCAAAAATTGGCCCTCAATAATCGTATAAAACACGTAATTCTGGACATGCGAACGAAAGTTGAATAAACACAATCTTCCTCGTTGTCAGCGCGAAACACTTTTTCCATTTAATTCATTCTGTCAGCTGATCTCAGAATCTCTGACGCCCCCTGAATCACAGGGGAGAAAAAGGAAAGAACAGATAAACACTCACCAAAAGCCACAGAAAAACTCCCGCCAAAATTGAAAGTAGAATTGTTAATATCAACACCGGCCAAGCTTCAAATACTGCCATCATTAGCTTCTTTGGATAATTGTCCCGCTCTCCTTTAGGAACAACAAAAGCTATGCTACCAGGGGGGACGAGACCAATCAGGTGATGGTTCTCGCTTGCCATGTCCTGCTTGTCTACTAACACTGGATATATCAGATGAGAGTCTTTCACTGTACTTAACAGCTGCTCAGGATCTGTTTCCGGGGAGTGGTGGATCATTTGCCAACAGCCTGAGGTGAGGTTACCACAACACTTGCTTAACAGGAGGTCTACAAGAGCTAATTGAGAACAAAGTGCAAGAAATGTAAAATACATTTTTCTCTATTGTTAATCCGAAAAATGAATGACTCGGTCAAAAGTTATTCCTAAACAAGTTTTAGTCTCGCCTCCATCATTCCATGTCAACTCTTCCCCATGATCTTACTCGAGACTTACTTAAGCAATCTCAAGCGACATTTGGTCCTCCCTCTTTGAAAAGAAATTTTAGCAAGTACGATCTATATCAACGCTTGCTGCTATTGTGGTCTCTCGCCCAAGAGCTGTCAATGGGCAAAACAAACTTGAATGGTTTACTCACAACAGCTATCAATCGTGACTTCAGCGGTTACTAACTTATCTTAACTGATCCTTTGCGGTTATGGTTCAGAAGGAAACACTCAAAGACGTTCATTACTTATATTTTGATCATCGTTTTGGAACCAACGTTCTAATGGCAAGCTAGAAAAAATATGGTTGAAATTTGAACGATTGAATTTTAGGATCTTACATCGAGACTTGCTGTTTAAGTGAATCTAAACTAATACATATATGCAAATAATTATGTTTTGGTTAATTCAAAGAAACCTCCACCTCCAATATATTTCTTTGATCCCTCAGGCGTTCCGTTCACCGTATTCCTATTCAAAGTCTTTTTATTCAATTTTACCCGATGATAATCAAGAGTAAGTGTCGTGACCTCGTATTTTTTCTCACTGTATTTAAGGATTACAATATTACAAAAACGTTTGTATTTAAGCTCTTAAGAAAGTAATTCTTTCTATTTCTCAACGCAAAAGACAGAGAGCTGGAAGAACTGGCCATCAACAAGATATTATATTGGGGTTGAAAAATTAAATTGACTCTGTCGTGGGCCTTGGCCAGCTCAAGTTGTGATGAGAAGAGGACTACAGGCCTACGGCCTTTTCCCGTTTGGAGGCCACTCATTACAGGAGCTGGAGGACAAAGAGAGTTTAAAACTGATGACAAAAATCTGAAGGAAGGTAACGAAGTTCGAACCAAGAGTTGCGAAAGCTAGGTTTTGTTTAAGGTCAAAGAAATTCATATGGTTATGAAGAAGTTATAAAACTATCACCCCCTATTCTGAAAAGATGGGAAATTTGGGATAATCTTTCCATTAAAGGATAACTGGACAGTGCAGATAAGATGCAAGAAAATGATTTGGAAACACGACTTTTAGAAATGAAATAGAAAATAAAATTAATTTTTATTCTGATGTGAAAATACAATTTTCTTTGTCAAATTAGTTTAGGCAAAGTTTGTGTGTGCCAAAAATTTTAAACTAAATATTTCCAAATTCGTCATTTGGGATCTGCAGTAATCTTTTATAATTTTTGAGTTAGTGGGGTCAGGGTAAGAGAAGCTGTTTTAAATTGGAGAGGGAGGAGGCCAGAAATTTTTATCTTAAAAATTTGGGAAAGCCCTCTAAAATACGGCTTCAATAGATATTGCGTCCATATATAATTGCGTTTACTTATGAAAAAATACGTGAAGTTCACACCGAACAATAACAGCAAAAAAGACATATGTCGAGTAGATTTGGAGACCTTTGTTGTTCGCCAGCTTTCATTCCTGTTATCTGAAACGAGGACTTTTCAAATTTTATTTTGAATTTTTTTCGTTTGTTTTCCCCATCTAGTTTCATATTGTAGTTTTGTACTCATTCTTTTATGATTTCTGGGCTGATTTCTCAGAAGGTGGCCAATTTGATAGACATAGCAAATGCCTCCCTGAATAATACGAAACCGACTTATCAAAGCAGCTGTTGAATTTCCACGTTCATTGTGGTTTTTACATTGCACTGATAGTTGTTTATTTATTATTTATATTACTCGAGATTGTGTCTTTGAAATGAAAATGAGAAAGTGGTAAATTAAAACTGCATTAAATACAGATTAATAATTAATATCTTGGGATCAGAATCCTTCAAAAAAATTGGATAAAAAAATCAGGCAGTCGCGAAGTCATCTCTTACAGTAATACGCGTTGGCATAATAATGACGTGTGAGAAAAACTCTTTGTAACGGCCGTTGATGATATGAAGTGATTAAAAAACTGTATCGATTCAAACCACATTTCCCTAAATCTAATCCTAGCCCTGTCACACTGAAAGGCGTGTACTGTAAACAAAATGGCTAGGCCATGTAAACCTACTTTCATAAAGCACTTCCACAATAATACACGAAGCGAGACGGAAGGGTGGAATGGAAAGTTCCCTTTAGCACTTATTTTGATGACAAGATGTATAAAAGCCGTTCACATGAATTGTGGAACAGATAATTCTGACAGCCACTAATAAAGGTTACTGTGACCGCATCAACAAAAGAAAATTAAAAAAAACGCATAAACAGAACTCACCATAAAGAAACCCGTCAGTAGAATTGCCATCTTTGAAAACATACGGCTTTCTTGAAAAGCTTGAAAGACGTACACATCTTGGGCATGGTATTTCCGGACAGTTCGAAGGAGGTTGCATGAGACTGCAGTTTGCTTCAACCGCAGCGAAAGCTTGGTCAGCATTCCACAGAAACAAACAAGCTGCGAGTGTGAATAATGCTTGCTCTTTGCACTGACAAAAATCCGACCACATTACTGTGAACTCGTAACCTATTTCAGATGCATTCAATTCAAATACTGTTAACAATATCTTTTATCTCTGAGATTCATTTGAATAATCACTTCATTGGCTTCGTCTGCTGACTTTCAACTACTATCAGTTATCTACATACTAAACATATCATCCATTATTGTTGACGAAAGAAACGTTTAGCATCCATGAATCGCAGGGCGGAGAGAGGTTGGGCGATGGAACGGGCGGGTCCGAGCAAACAGATGTGATGCAGCAGACTGGGACCGACTTCAACAAACATTGTCTTTTTCTGAAAATGGCGGCAAGTTCGGCAGCTTTGGATGAGCTGGAAAAATTGTTTGGCCAAGATCTAAAGGAGAACCATTTCATTTCTACCAATGTCGATATGTCGCTGAAGTTTGTTATTACAAGTTGGCAAATAAAGGGGTGACTGGACTAAATGACTGAAGACATTTAAAGGGCTTCCAAGCAAACTTTGAAAATTTGTTTCATAAGTTTCTGTCAAAATCTGACAGCTGTCATTTAGCGAGCGCAAAAAAGCCCATGTACTCTTTTGAATGAACAACCGTGAAACTCGACTTATGTTATTACCCCGACGGTTTTTTTGTTAAAACAGTCAGTGATCTTGAGGAAAATATTGGTCACTTACATCGACGATTAATGCCATTAATTAAGTAAGGGGATTTACCTCTGCTCACTCACTTTTGAATGGCAAAGAAAACCATTGTTCGTATGTTTGCTGCAATAACGTGTGTAACACTAGTCTTTCGCAACGAAAGGCTGAAGTCAAATGAGGCACTTTATCTTGACATAAGGGATACAATGCGACGTTTCTTTATTGATTTCCTCCGGTTTCTTTTGCGGAATATGGTGGAAATTAAATGGACTAGCAAGGACTTACCAAAAGTGTATTTGAAGTAGCACTCACGACTTAGCTCTCTCTGCTCTGATACATTGTATTCCTATCGCTCTCTGATGGCAAACAAAATGGGGGCTGACGTTACTTTGATTTTTTGTCGTCACACGCATGCGTATATATGTTGAAACAAAAGATCAAAGGCGACTCTCCTAGCAGGTTATTGCCTTCCTCGTCTGATATATTTTTTCAATAGATTGTAATAAGATTGAGCACCACTTTGCTTCTTATCAAACACGTGTGCGAACCAAATTTTGAATATCGTTCAAATGATAACCTGATTCTGAAAGCCGAACAAAATCTAAATACAGGGTGATTTACGCCAGTTTGACCTCTGAGAAGGTAGATTTTTAGTTCTTGCCTCAAACAAGCTCATAGAAAATTCCATCGATAACAGGAGCCCATTACTTAATGGGCTCCTGTCGATAACGGTTGTATCGTGGTTTGTTTCATTCTTTACATTATCTCAGTTCGCCATTTCTATCCGTTCTGTACGTGCAGGAATGTATGTGTTTGTTGCACCTTGCAGACTTCCAAACTCCAAAACTCGCGTCTTTTTGTAAAAACACCTATTATGCTCATTCGTTTAGTCGTAGATTTGCCAGTAACTTTAACATGCTCTTTCAATTTCTAGAAATTAGGTAGCTTAAAGTACAATCTTTAGACAACTGGCCACTAACCCAACAAAGGGAAGAGACTGTCTACTAAGTTCCCACTCAGAATGCAAAGGATCTCCTTTAACTCGATCCTGTTTACTAATGGGTAAATCGGGATAAATACTAGAATAAGAAAACGCGGTACAATTAGGAAAAGTTGTCTCCTCTTTCAGAGCAACTATGGCGGCCCTCCACCATTTTCAACTGTTTTCATTTTTGGGTTAAATAGCAGGCCAAAATACTTCATACAAGTTCTTCGGTTACAGAGGTCGAACCCACAAAATGATTGTATCCTTTTGTTGTTTTTAACGGGATTTAGGAAGTTTCTTGTCAAGACTATTGTTCTAGTATAGCAGGTGTTCCTCGCCGATAGAAAGCGTGATCTTGTCGGGTAAGTACTGAGACAATTTTCTCTAATAACACTCAAAGGCCTCTTACAGAGAACGCAAATTAAAGGAAAAAGAAAACATGATGACTCAAATATGTTTGCCTCTTTTATTTTTTATTTTTTTGTGTGTGAAAAGGTGATAGGGTTGAAAGTGATTATTTGTATTCAAGGTCATACGGCAGTTGCACAAATTTCAAATTTTACGATTTTTTGTCGGACACAAAAAAATCGCAAATTCTGCAAAAGCTATGGTTTTTCGTCACACGCACGAAAAAAAGGATCAAACCGTCCTGTAAATGAAGACTTGAAAATTGTGAAAATAAGCTGAATTTGCCGAATTTTTCAATTTCATAGAAGATAACAAAAACTGATATTTAGGTCTGAGGAGTTTTGTTGATACATCAGTGTCGAAAGGAAAATCCTAAAATTTGTAATATTTTTATTTTATATTTTGTTCAATTTTAGACATACGCGTGTCATAAACTGTAAAGGGATCTTTACTTAAGGAAACGTGGAAACTTATTTCGTCAAAGGAAAAGTTGCCAGGATGTTCTTTGCTTTTGGCCAAGAGCTCACAACAGTTGATGAAGAAAATATCTAATCATATTCTCGCATAAATGTAAAGTTTAAATAATCGCAATTACTTTACACATGTTAACCTCGTAATCTGATTGTCAGTATCTGCACTTTCTGAGCTGGTTAGACGAAAGGCAAGAATTCTAGTAACCTAAACTGTCTAAGTTTCCAAGTTTTTGTTCTCTGCGTTTAGCACATGTTCGTGACGTAGCTCGCATGCATATGTTGCGCCAGCGACGTAGGATTCGTAGTTTATGGAGAAACAATGAAATTACTTGTACCAATCAGAATCAGTTTCTTGCATTGGCTATCTTACGATATTGAACAGAAGCACGATAACACGGAATCTATCTCATATTAAATAGAAAGCGAGCAGCGTAGCCGACCAACTTGCAGCATTTCTGATAGAATGGTGGTCGATTTATATCAATTGTTGATCGATAGACAAATAAAAAGAAAGTACGAGCTTGGTCAAATGTTTTGACAGTTTGGTTGTATTTGTTATTTGGATCGGTAGGAACTATTGAAGCCACAACATCGAAGCACAAGTCGGAAGTACGAGATGTTCGATAGCCTTACGCAAACAAGAACAATTAAAATTTACTGTTACCGTAAGCGCTACAGGAAACCTGTAATGAACACTTTCTGCACATGACCTTCTCAGAGACCTAAACAAATTACGAACAATAGTGGGTGATTGGAAGGTGTGAGAAATTCTTGTCAAGAAACGCGAAGAAAATGCACATGCATAACTTTGCTCCCAAAGAAAGGAAACTAAACGTTCTCTATCCCTCACCGCGTTCGTCCCAATGAAAATATTTTCCTTCTAATTTGGACAGAAAACTAGATAAACAGACAAATAAAAGAACTACAGTAAATACAAGTTGGGTAGCTTGTTTCAAGTTGAAAAAGCTCTGGGAACTTCAAAGAAAGGACTAAGGAACGCATAACCTCGAAAAAGCTGGCAATTATTGCTACTGCCACCAACATCAGCCAAAATCATACCATCAACCTGGGGTTTCTTGGTTCTTGGTGGAGCTTACCAGCTTCCTATATCTACAGGTTTTATCCTACCTGGACAACCAGCCACCCAACGTCACTTCTGTCTGCTAATTTGAAACGACAAAAACGACAAACGACAAAATTTGGATATCAAACTCAAGGAGGTTTTCAAAGTTTTTACGAATCTCAGCGCGCTCTCCTCTTTCGAAGGAATCGAGTGTAAAGGAATTTTATAACATAGCGCGCGTGCTTGCCCTATAGAAGTCCTATCGAGCCGCTATGAACAAAATCTTTATTTACGCACGCCCGTGCGTAAGGCCTGTTTACATGGAAGTGGGGGACCCCAGGTAGGTGAGGTAACCCGCCTGTCCATATAATTTCTTATTTTATTTTTATCACGTTTACATGATAGGTGGGGTGACCCCCCTGGGCGGATTGCCCGGTCTGCCAGGCAGGGTAACCTTGTCAGCCGGGGTGACAATTTGCCATGTAAACGTTCAAGTTGGGGTAACCCGCTTAGCCGGGGTCGCATTCATGGCAAAAAGCTCAAAAACGAAAAATGTATGTTTTAAATCTTTGTATATTTCCTAGCCATCTCTTGGCAGAAATCACCAGAAACCGCAACGGACACACAAGGAGTGTAAAATCTTCACATTTCAGAATATGTAGCGTTGTAAATCGACCATATTTGGTTTCCCAAACTATTCCGTATAACGTGTTAAGTCAATAGTTCCTTGCGAAACCAAACACCGCGTAACACAACGCGTGACGCTTTCATGATTAAATACATATGTGTTCGAGAATTAATCTTTCGTCTTTCTCGAGATGTGAGCTTGCGACGCCTCTGCACAAACTCCTTAAATGCAAGCGCAACAACAACCTCAAGAAACCTTACCTCAGCACCTGGGGGTTGTAAGGTTGCATGTAAACGCGTTTTATTTTTCGACCACGGCTAGGTGGGTTACCTCACCTACCTGGGGTCCCCCACCTCCATGTAAAAAGGCCCTAAATAAGACGACGTGAGCAATTTTTTGCAAGTTTCCTGCAGTCTGTCTTCTCCAATTGCACCGTGCACGGCAGCGTAAACATTATTTTGAACAATCAAAACCCTTGATACCTTCGGGTCTTTGACTTTTAAAACATTTTTTAGTGACACTTGAGTTCATTTACCTTTGATTTCCTCCATTTTCCCCGTAAATTTTGAGCTTTTCATTCACAGTTATCGGTTAACTGGATCAAATGTTCTCGCTCAAACCAAAGTATAAAATGTGACATGTTTTTGACCAGCCATTAGGGACGTTTGTTTCCTTTTTTTGTGCGTTGTGAGAATTTTGCACTCTTTCCGGCACAATAGAAAGCTTCTTCGCGCAGATCCTAGTGATATGAACTTGATATGATATGAACTTCCATTTCTATGCAGATGACTGTCAGATTTATTTTTCGCTTGACTCGGTTTCATCAGTTATTACTACGAGAATCGAAACCTGCCTACAAGACATTGAAACTTGGATGTCATTGAACAAGCTTAAATTAAACGGTGATAAGACTGAGCTTTTGGTCATCGGATCGGGCAATTTGTCTACTTCTAAGCTACCTTCTTTTACAGCGATTGATAGATCTGTTATATACCCTTCGCACTCTGCCAGGAACATAGGTGTAATCTTTGAAAATAAGTTAAATATGGAACTTCAAGTTTCTGCTATTTGTAAATCTGCATTTCTTCACATCCAGAATATTTCTCGGATTAGAAAGTTTTGTCAGTTAGTAGTACTAATGCGCTAGTACACGCCTTCGTTACATGCAGATTAGACAACTGTAATTCTCTGTTATATGGTCTTCCGAAACATTATTTTTAAAATCTTATTTTTTTACTTTTAAAGCTTTAAATAATTTATGCCCTAGTTATATCAATGACTCGTTAGAAACTTATAAGCCTACTAGGTCTTTACGATCATCGAGTAGGAAGTTGTTAATGATTCCACGCTCTAAGTTGAAATCATATGGCGATCGCGCCTTTTCTGTCGCTGCACCTAAGCTGTGGAATGACATTACTGAAACCATAAAATGTAGTGTAGATCTTAACGCTTTTAAGCGTAACCTTAAAACTTATCTTTTTAAGCGATATTTTTATGAATGATTACGTTTGATTATTTTTTATATTTTTTTTACTTTGATTGTGAAGCACCTTAGAGCTTTTGGACAGGGCGCTATATAAATTGTCATTTATTATTATTTATTATTGTTGTCGCTCTGTTATAAAAGAATTTGTTCATGCTTTTAGCTGTGCGTATATCGAGTTCTGGATGCACTTGCGAATTTAGGGGAGTACTCAAAATGCTAGAGTTGCGCCTCGAGCTACTCTCACGCATTTTTCGTGCTCTCCAAAATTCCTGCGTGCATCCATAACTCGATATACGCACACTGAGCATGAACAAATTCTTAAGTGATCTTCTTCTTTCGTTGCCTTTGAATCCGAGCCTTTTCGTGCCTACTTCCCGCCTAAACTTCACGTTGGCGCCAAGATGAACCTAAAACCTGGAATGAACACCTTTGCTCCTGACCTCTTTATATACTTGGTTAAATTACCAAAAATAATTCTCATTTGGAAGGCGTGAGGAATTCATGTCAAGAATCGCAAATAAGTGCACGTGCATATATCTGTACAACGAAAACTTATTTGTAAACTAATGGGGCACAACAGGGTGCGGCCAAGGACATCATGTATAGTCTTACATGACATACCAGGCTGACGTTTACTATCGATTTGACAGTGCGTAGTAATGTGATTATCACTTGGAGATGGAGACGTCCATGTACGAGCTTGACTGTTGTGGCCGAGGAGTTAGCCTCTTTGTTTTTTTTTTAAGTAACAGTTAGACAATGAGAGATGCTTTCGCCCAAAATTATGAAGTGGTTGATGCTCTTTCCTCTGCCAACATCGTAGTACATCCAAACGGGAATGATTTCAACAAGTCCCGCGCTCCAACCTTAGTTTCAAGTGAACTGCTAAAGTACGCGGTCAAAGGAAAAGGTTTCCAAGATCTTTCAGGTTTGTACCCGTTTTTTGTCGGTTTTACACTCTTCTCTGCGCTCATTTCTGGCGCAACCTTACCTTCAGGTCGATTTGTGTTCAGTTTTCACGAGGTCGATCGCAAATTGAAATGTATCTCGATCAGGAAAAAAAGTTGAGAAGTACTGGAACGTTCCGGAGCACGGGAATATCTTAAGGTTAAGAATGATGAGATATACCCAGCTTTTCCTATCGTAGTTTATCGGTGCCAACTAAGGTCAAGTAGCGTTTGGTGACAGAGCTGAATAATGTCTGCGCATGCACCACGCTTTGGCGCGGAAAATGGATTTTGAGGGGTGTGGACAAAACGTGGGGTAGGCCATGGCCTACCCTATGGCCTACCCTATGGCCTGCCAGTGGTCAGATTTTTAAAAACATAAAAATAAAATCAGTAAGAGTTGAACAAGTACACTGGCGTACAATTCTATGCTTCTAAAAAGAGTATACTTAAAAGTTACTAACACAATTTTCAACATCCGAGGGAACGAAACAATGCAAATATTACAGCACCCAGCCTTGAAACATCCTAACTCTGTCCTCCCCACACAAACACCCAACCATAACAGTAGGTTAAGGGGGAGGGGAGAGGAGGGGCCAATATTGCGTGGTCACTGAGGATATCCAAAATGGTGGCGTCACAATCCACACAGGCTGCCAGCTGGTAACATATAGTGGAGTGCTAGTGTAAAAATGTAATGAACGGCATTATATCGGACAACATATCCAGGTATGAAAACAGAAACAGTACACGCCAGGTCAATTTTTTAATCGCCTCTTTAGTGCTGTAGAGTATTATATTTGCAACAAGCACTGTGGGACACACAGGCATTGCCGTCATAAACATTTCACAAACTTTACTTGCTTTTCCTACTGAAGTGTGGTAGCATAACAATACAAGTGGTGTATTAAGCTGTTCCCTGTACAATAGGAAGTTCATTTGGGATACCATATTGCATGACATTGTGTCAAAAAGATGTAACACAAAGTAATTGATAAATTTAACAATCTGTGTAATATTTTGTTTTCTTTTATATCTCATTATAAACGTCCTAAAGTTAGTTAATTAATTAATTATTTGACTCTTACTGATTTTATTTTTATGTTTTTAAAAGTCTGACCACCGCTAGGCCACAGGGTAAGCCATGGCCTACACCATGGCCCTACCCCACATTTTGTCCACACCTGATTTTGAGTCATTTGCACATTCAATTTTCTATTTCCAGGTCTTGTTTCCTTGCCAATTTTCTTTTACAGATTAATCTCCAAAAACTTTTTACACCCCCTAAATATTTTCAAAAATTGATTTTCTCCTTAAAAATATTGGAAATGGGAAAATGCCCTCAACAACCACAAAATGCCTTGAATGCTTGAGCCCACGTTATTGACAGCTTAGCTGTGACATAGCATTTCATTATTCAGCTCTACTGCATTTGGTATAGACATCGCAGTTTTCCCATCATGGAGAACAGTGGGCACTTGCTTTTATCAATGCTTGTTTAACCATTCCCTCCATGTAAAGGAGCAAGACTTGACCTCTTAAGAAAAATGCCTTGATGATTTGTTTTCCCCTTTGGCAGACAATGGAAGAAGGAATTGATCCCTTAATATCAGAAACAGGGGTGCAAGGCCATAGTAGTTACTGATTAAAGTGGGAAAAGTAAACTTTGAAAACCTAAAACAGCAGTTTGAAGGTGGAGCAATGATCAGTGAAAAAAGTATTCTTGAACACCTAGATGCATTTTAAGGCTACTGTAACTTTCATCATGAGGCACCTCCTATCCTGCTACACTATGTAAGTTGAGTTAAAGTGATTTCTTAGTATTGCAATGCACATCCTGTACTGGGCATAAAAATCATATAATAACGCAATTAAGTGTGTGCGCATTTCTGAGGACATGGTGTGTAAAGCTTTATCTTGATAATGAAAATTATAACCTTGAAAGCAACAACTTAAGGAATGTTTTGAGTTGATATTGTTTGAAATGGGGGATTTTTCCACAAATAATACATCAAATTGTTCCTTATGCTTGAGACTTTCTGTCTATCAAGTTTTATTCAAGTGTTACTTTAAAAACCCATACTTCCAGTGACCACACAATGTACAGGCATAAATGGGGTAAGATTGGCCAATCAGATCTCTTGATCAAGCAGGGTGATCTATCTTTTTTATTGTATTTTTTGAAACCAACATTGGTAGGACACATTTATAGAAAGTTTTAAAAAAATATATCTGATAACTTTTTTTTTGGAAAAATCAGTTTAAATGTTTGTTTCTGTTATCAATAGTTATATTTTTTTATTTTTCATTGATCCAGTGATCCAGATTGTTCCTTTGTCTCCAGTTTTCATAAATTCTGATTGCATAATCTGTCAGATGGCAAAGGCACCAATGTTTCATCAGTTGACAGTGCTCAGTAAGAGACTTAACCATTCATTAATTCAGTTGTGGCTCTGGCAGGTGGAAGGCTGGCAGCTTATTATTTTGGGTGCTTTGATTGGTTTCCTGAGCTTTTGAATGGGTTTATTGAGAATTAGTGACTTCAAAAAGTAAGACTTGTTCTGTCTCTGACAAAACTCTTGCATAGCTTTGTCATAAATTAAAGCATTAGGACACATTTTCCAGTGGTTTTTAAGGTGATAAAGCCACTTAGAATTCTTGGATAATGCTTGAAAAAGTCTTAAACCACTTGCCTCTGGCTCAAGACTTAAAAACTTGCTCTTAATTTGACTGGTAAAGGTAAAGAATCTGATCCTACTGATGCATCAACTAAGTTGTAGGCCAATGTGTCAGTCAACAGTCAGTCGACTGTCAAACAGTTTCCACTGCAGTAAAACTGCAATTAAAAATGGCTCCTTTAGGAGCCACCACGTATTCAAAATTCAATGATCAATTATGATTTTTTGCTTCCCAATCTTGCAAATTAACAAAAAGTAATCATGTCAGTGAGATCAGTGAGTTGGCTGACAAGCTAATTCACTCCCTTGGTATCTGACCCTTGGAAAAAAAAAGAAGAAGACCTAGGTACTATTGTTTTGTTTTCGAAATGGTGGTAGATAATGTTTTGAAATGGTGGCAATTTAGAGTTCCTTTTCTTATTAGGTAGTGTGTTGGCTCATAATAGTAATAATAATAATAATAATAATAATAACTTTATTTATATACAGTAGTACTTGTATTCTCTGCTCAAGGCGCTTTACGATCATACAAAATCATACACTATTAATAGAAATTTACAAATTTACAACCATATCTTACTATATGATACTTAAACATGGCTAAAATTCATACTGATTAAAAAAGAAAATTAAAGCCAGCCATATCTTATTAAATGATACTTAAACATAGCTGAAATTCACAATGATTAAAAAAGAAAATTAAATCTAAAGCAATATAAATAAATCTATAAAAATAATGGTCCGTTATTAATATATTTACTAAACAGGAACATCTTAAGTGCTCCTTTAAAAATTAAGATGGTGTTATACTTTTGAATTTCATAGGGTATAAGTTCCATTCTCTTAGTGCGGGAACAGTGAATGCTCTGTCTCTGAAGGTCTTAGTATAAGATCTAGGTTGCATTAAAAGTTCATTTACTAACTTACCTAGATGATCTAGTAGGAGAACAATAATG